TTCCTAAACGATTTCAGAGCTCTCAAAAGCCCTTTTCCGTAAAAAACAATTGTTTAGCGCATCGTCGCCTCATTCGTACTTCCCATTTCCCCGAATTCAAAACTAATCAACCAATTCAGCGGAATGGGTGTGATGGCCGTTGGTCTATTCATCACGATTCTCCTTCTTTTCCATCAAATTTCATCGTCAACCGATCAAGTGGATCCATCCACGTATTCTTTTCCCTTCAAATAGCTAAGTTGTCAACCATTCAGATCTCCGAATGTTCGAGATGAGATTCTGCTTCGTGATCGTCGTACTCTGAAGTTGGTCAGAAAGAGATTTATCGATGATCTTAGTTTTCAGCAGTAAAAAGGATTGTCCGGATACCGTCCGTTTGAGATCTTGTCAAAGAAATTTATTGGTTTTTTGGGAGAAGAGCGAAATTGATAGAATAAACAAGAAAGAGGCTTGAGTGTCTCAATGACAAGACTTTTCAGGAATCAAACCGAATCAAAACTCGTCGAGGCTCGAGGAAAAATCTGCGGACTCGAGACCGAAATGTAGGCGAAATGCACAAATCTTGAAGAATTCAGGCTCATCTTTTTCAGTCAATGTGAACAAAAGGAAAGAAGTGATGAGTTCACAAAGATCAACTCAAAAATCTCGTAAAGTGATGATCGATTGACGAAGATTGGTGCTGATTTGAAAGCCGAGATGTGAGTCTTGAAAACCCTTAAAGAAACATCTGAGGATGAGACACTTCTAGAGATTCCAAAGTCACCGAAATGTCAAGGAACATCTCCACGATAGTAGGCCAAATTGAAGTTCTGGAAAAGTAAAGTAAAGGCATTACTGTAAGGAATAGCCACTAATAAAAGTACACGAATCCTGGTAGTCTGAATATTGGCAAATTATAGAGGAAATCCTTGCGTCCTCATTCTATTTCTTGCCCCAAATCATTGTTGTTTTGTAGCCGTTTTCGTTTTCAGTTTTCGCTGAAATGAATATTGATTGTTTTTGGTTGAGAACTGATGACTAAACGAATCGGGCATTCCCCTCCTTTCCCTTTCTTTTCCGTGATAAGAAATCCCAATTTTGCTTGGCAACAAATTTCTTGTTTGATTTGGTCTTCTCTCATCAATTATGCCTCTTTAGTAGCTGTTTCCTTTAATTTTCAATTGTTCTTCAAGAAAATTCAGTCATTTTGTAGGCATCCAACGGTCTAGGAACCGAAATGGACAATCTCTCGAATCCCCAACGCGAAGCCGAACTGTGGTTTTTTCGCCAAATTTTTGCTTCTATCAAAAACCGTCTTTAATTTAATTGAAGAGTTTAGAGAAGAAATGAAAAAGGAGATGAGTCAATTGACATCAAAAATGGCTCAAATCAAGGCGTATGTAATGGGGGAAAACGCGAAGTTGGAGGCCGATTTGGTTGACGAAAGGGAGAGAAATCGAGAATTGGAAAGGAAAATCGCCGAGGCGAAAAGGAAGAACGACGATCTCGAAGCACAATTGTACTAATTTTGCGATTTTGTTTTTTTGAGAAGCTCAAAGTAAAATATAAAATGCGAACTTTTTTCAGAAGAACGGAAGTGAGAGACGGAAAAGCCAAGATTGGAGAGCTCGAAGAGGAAATCACCGCGTTGCAGAGCAAGAACTCTGATCTCGAAACCCAAATGTGAGTCTATTTGGGATCTCTGGTGGACTGTGACTTTGATCAAGAGGTTTTATGCAGGCAGATTTATGCGTTTTTTTAGAAACGATCAAAATACGGGAGTGAGAGACGAAAAAGCCAAGATTGAAGAGCTCGAGGGGAAAATCAAGGCGTTGCAGAGCAGGAACTCTGGCTTCGAAACCCAAATGTGAGTTTATTTGGTATCACTTCTCGACTGAGATTTGGGAAAGTAGTTTCAGATTTGTGAGTTTTTTTAAGGAAAAGGATTGGGTATTTGTCTGAAAGTCTTAAGTAAAGTTTTTCGAAGAAATTCAGAAATCGAACGAGAAAATACAACTCAACATAAAATATAGATAAAAATCGAACTGTTTTTAGAAGAACTCAAAATACCGAAGTCAGAGACGGCAAAGCCAAGATTGGAGAGCTCGAAGGGAAAATCAACGCGTTGCAGAGCAAGAACTCTGACCTTGGAACCCAAATGTGAGTCTATTTGGTATCTCTTGTCGACTGAGACTTGAGGAAACAGTTTTTTTTTACTCCCAAACACCTATTCCACTCAATCCAATCAATTCCTCTCTAGACAATTTGAAAGGATCAAAACAGTCGAAATCGCGAAGTTGCAGGCAGACTTGTGAGTTTTTTAAGTAACGATTGAGTCTTGGTCTAAAAACTAAAACAGAACTCCTTTTAGAGCAACGAAAATCACTGAATTGATGGCTCAAATGTGAGTTCATCTCTTGTCGACTGAGACTTAAGAAAACAGTTTTTTCATTTCCCAAACACCCATTCCACTCTATCCAACCAATTCCTCTTTAGACAATTGGAAAGGAAAAACAAAACGGCCGAAATCGCGAAGTTGCAGGCGAATTTGTGAGTTTTTTTTAAGGAAATAGACTGAGTCTTTTTCTAAAAAATCTGGAGTAAAGTTTTTCGAAGAAATTCAGAGAAGAAATATAAAATGCGAACTTTTTTCAGAAGAACGGAAGTGAGAGACGGAAAAGCCAAGATTGGAGAGCTCGAAGGGAAAATCAACGCGTTGCAGAGCAAGAACTCTGGCCTCGAAACCCAATTGTGAGTTTATTTGCTATTTCTTGTCGACTGAGATTTGAGAAAACAATTTTTTTGACTCGCAAAACACCCATTCCACTCAATTCAATCACTTGCTTTAAACGATTGAGTATTTGTCTAAAAAATCTGGAGTAAATTTTTCCGAAGAGATTCAGAAATCAAACGTTGACCTTCGTGGATCGTGATGGATGGTCGTATTTGGCAAAAACCGCTTCTTGGTACAAGGTTTGATGGATGTTGTGAACCAGGATTATCTTCATCTCAAGGTTATCGATCAATATATGACATTCGATCAAGCCGTGGCATATTGTGCGAGTCGAAAGATCCATTTAGTCTCAATTCACAGTCAGGAAGAGAACCATTTTGTTTGGAAACTCGGTAAGAAATCGAAATTATTCAATTCTGAAAATTCAGGGTTTTTGTAGAAATTTATGCTTTATAAACCAAAAACAACCGATATTTATTTCAGCGGAAACTTTTCATTCGGATTCTTGGTTCTGGATCGGATTGAAGGTTGAACATTTCTTATCGAAAAAAATAAATAAATAGAAAGTAATAATTCTTTCAGCGATTATCGGAAGGCTCTTTGTTAAGACATGATTCGTTTTGACTGATAGTTCTTTGACAGAAATCTGAAATGATAGAGACTGATAGAAATCTAATTTGAATTGAAAAATTAGAATAGTGTTAAACTGGAAAAAAAATTTGGTTGAAATATCAACAGTCAAACATCAAAACTCCTTGATTCTGGTTTCACTTGGAAAATAATTTCAATAATAAGAAAAGAAAAAAGAAATCTCGATGTCTGAACATAAAAATTTCTTTATTCAGAGAAATCCGAACAAAGGAAATGCTTTTGAATGGACGGATGGAAGGGCGGTGGATTTCACGAATTGGTATCCGGGAGAACCAGCTTCGAGCACCCACGCTAGGGTGAGGTTTTCAACGTGAAATCATCAATATTTATTCCAATTTCCAATGCATAATTAATCCAAAAATCTTTCGATCAATCAGAGGAGGTTTTTTGTGTAAAATAACGCAAAGTGTTTTATCAAAGGATTTCCATCAGAAATGAACACATTTCAGCTTCGGAGCCACGATGGGAAATGGGTGGTCTGGTCTCCTACCGATCAGCGTCCTTTTATCTGCAAAATGAGCTCTCAATTCTCATAAATGCTTTGTGTTCTTTTCTGTGGACAAAAACCAATAAATCCGATCTTATTCAATCTTCTGAAAACACACAACTGCATATTATCTTTTTCTTTATAGCTGAATTGTTTGTTCAAAATCTCATATAAAAGTTTTCCCAAAAAATTCCGCCTGAAGCTGCAAGTATTTTGCTCTCTCGTCGCTCCTGAATAGACTATTAGATAAACGTGGTGAACATCAATGGACATCAGCATGAGGAAACTGACAATTCTTCGTGAGGGTCGCTCTTCTCGCCCTTCAACTCGTCGATTTGTCTTTGATTTTTGTTCCTGAGGTTCTCCAAAATTCGATTTTTGCTTTTTTCGACTCACTGTTGGTTCTGTAGGCGGAGTTTTTTGTTTTTTTTTGGGTGATGTTAACGATTAAGGAAGTAGATAATGTATGTATGTATTGTAGATATAATGAGCTGTGAATGTCTTTATAGTCAAAAAACGAATGAAACCCCATTTTCAAATGAGATTTGTTCGATTAAATCATCTAGCTATGTACATATCACTACATTAAACTCTTTAGACAAGTTTTCTTGCAAAATGGTCGACTATATAAGGTGCCTGTTGTGTGATGTCAAACTGAAAGCAATCACAATGGATTTCATTCGAAATTCCCCATTCATTTGCCTCGTGATGTTCTCGGCGACGTTTGCAAAGAATTACGTGTAGCTAAGCGAATTTCTTGGTCCAAATCTAAAATCTCTTTGAGGCACGAGTAGCGAGTGAAGGGGTCCGGCAAGAGAGATGCTGTTCGAAAATCGCTCTGAGTTTAACAAAGATCTCTTGTCAATCAAAGGAGTCCCGATTAGTCCAAATTAACTAGAATAACGGCATAGATCGAAAGCTCGGCGTTCAGTGGTTCGATTGCAAAAGGATCAATTTGTTATCGTTTTCCAGATTAGCTCAAGTGCCTAAAGATTAGGAACAACTCTAAATAAAGCGAAGTTTTGATGGAGATCACAAAAGACAGGAACTTGTGTGGGCTTGAATGAAAACTTTATTATTGGGGGTAGTTATTAAATGATCTAATGAAGAGGGATGCTTTCAAACAATGGTCATCAATCACTTTCTTTAGAAGTCGCCATTCTTGAAGTATCCCGAATCGTTTTCGTTCGCTGAAATAAATATCGATTGTTTTGGCTCATAAAGCATAAATTTCTACGAAAACCATGAATTTTCAGAATTGAATCGTTTCCATTTCTTACCGAGTTTCCAAACAAAATCGTGCTCTTCCTGACTGTGAATTGAGACTAAATGGACCTTTCGACTCGCACAATCTGCCACGGCTTGATCGAATGTCATATATTGATCGATAACCTTGAGATGAAGATAATCCTGGTTCACAACATCCATCAAACCTTGTACCAAGAAGCGGTTTTTGCCAAATACACCCATCCATTCAGATCCAAGAAAGTCATCGTTCGATTTCTGAATTTCTTCGAAAAACTTTACTCCAGATTTTTTAGACAAAGACTCAATCGCTACTTAAAAAAACATTAAAAATCTGCCCGCAACTTCATGATTTCGGCCGTTTTGTTTTCCCTTTCAAATTGCCTAAAGGGGAATTGATCGGGTTAATTGGAATGGGTGTTTCGGGTGTCAAAAAAACTGTTTTCTCAGATCGCAGTCGACAAGAGATACCAAATAAACTCACATTTGGGTTTCGAGGCCAGAGTTTTTGCTCTGCACGGCGGTGATTTTCACTTCGAGCTCGGCTTTTTCGTCTCTCACTTCCGCATTTTGAACTCTTCTGAAAAAAGTCCGATTTTTATCGATATTTAATGTTGAGCCCGTCTAAAAAGAAATCACAAACTTAGTACAATAATGCTTCGAGATCGTCGTCCTTCCTTTTCGTCTCGGCGATTTTCCTTTCCAATTCTCGACCAATTCGGGTATGTGTAATTTGGTCCTCTTCCGAAATAAGATCAAGTTCATCAATTAAAGCTGGGTAGTCTTTAAAAAGTAAACTTTGCCAAGCAATAGAACTAAAAAGTGACCGCAAATTTATCTCTCTGAATTGCCATTGCAGTTTCAATCATATAACGAATACGTGAATCCAATTGTGCTTCAGCAAAATTGTTTCGAAGTCTTGAGAAAACATTGTCCAAGGCACGCGGGGCAATCTAACAAATCATTTCTCAATAAGCGCTTCTACATAAAGCAAACCTCTGTCAGTTTCGCGCCACATTCTTTCAGAAAAGCAATACACACTTCCACTGAATCTTCCGTTGGTGTTTTCAGCATCAAAAGCATGATCTCAAGAGCAAGCAACTCGTGAGCCTAAATATGCATCGAATTCATATTCAAAGAAAAACAGCATACCATTTGTTGATTGATCAAATGTGCGATGTCGAAAATGTCAAAAATTTACTGATCACCGTTGTTGCTTTGTCGTCTCCACGGAAAGGTAGCTTGAACTGCACAATCAAACGCCTAAATGCATAATTTCTAAAGTCCAAAACCGTGAAACATACTTAAGTGTGTCAATTCACCAATAACAGAAAAGTTGGAATTAATCACACCAACCAAACCAGCGTATACATGTGGAAATGTTGGAGAAACGCTTGTGCTTGAATTATCGATCGAGTCAGCAAATCCCTAAAATTTTGTTTACTTGAGAAAATGCTAAAAAACAAACTTTCCGCGGATACTGTTTTCTTGAAGAAGCTCTCGCACAATTCCGACAAGATTGCTGGGGTTGACCTTGTTGACGGGACCCTAGATCTTTTTCTTAAGACACCCCCAATTCAATCGTTGAAATTGCTCACGCGATCTATCCTAAATTTTTTCTGTGGCCACGTTATCATTTGATACATTACCTGGATTTGTCCTTGCATCAACTTCAGTTTCGCTGGCGGGATGTATGGTCCTCCAGTGCGAGAACGCAATAAATCAACAAGTTTTTTTTCCTAAATGTATTTACTTCAACAAAGTCTTCTTGTATACCTTTGAGGAGCTTCATTTTCTTTTTTCTTTTCTGGTGATTCTTCACGTCGAGGAAGTTTCGCCGTCAGCGCCCTAAATGACTTCCTTCTAATTCGGATGTAAACTTTTCAGTTTATAGGTATTGCGTTTGATTCATGCAGCATGAAGCGTTAATGTAATTAACTCAAAAATTAAACTTTATTGATAAAAATACGGAAGAGATCAATAATAACGTTACACACTCAACAAGTTAGCAAAATAATAATGAAAATGACAAATAATGAAAACTAGACGATCAACTTTCCGAGTCTTCGGCGCCTCCGATGTAGAGGATGTTGTTGCACCTAGATTTAAACAAATTAGACAAAGGTCACATTAATCACCTTATTAACCTTTCTCCCAAAGCTCCAGTGTTTGTTCCCTCAATGTATTCCTCCGCGTTAGCCATCTAAAAGATAAAAAGTTTATTTGTGAATGCCTAGATCTACGCAAGCTTACTCGGCATATATCTGACTGTTCACAAGCGACATAAAAGCTAACAAAATTCAGAACGTACCTCCCCAAACTCGCTTTAGGCTACGCCATAAAAACTTTACACAAAGACAACCTCACCTGGACATTCATGTAACCGCAAGCCGAGATGAGGACGCCTCGATATTCCATTCCCCACTACAATCTGCACACAACTGGCTTTCCGGGGAGTCCATTGAGGAACGGCTTTGGGTTGACTGGTTGAACAGACATTCTCTGAAAACAAAATCAAAAATGAATTTGAGTAGATAAAAAAAAAGAGCCTTAAAAAGAAGGAGTCCTCGTAAATATAAAGAACGGTTCTTCGGAATAATTTTTGAAAGAAAAGGATTCGAATACCAGACAGGCGTATAACTAGGCGCCTTATGGAGGGACAGGGTGGTTTTTGCACCAGAGAAGAGAACGGGTGGCAGAAATATAAAGGCGTAAAAATGTAGATTGGCTAATTCAAGAGCACGCGAAAAATAAAATAATTGCTCGACTGAAGTTTTTTAAACCACTAGAAGTAAGTTAAAGATATTCAGCCAAATAATTGACGTCTATATTTTTTGAAATAAATGCATTTTCAATCATATAACGAATACGTGAATCCAATTGTGCTTCAGCAAGATTGTTTCAAAGTCTTGAGAAAACATTGTCCAAGGCATGCGGGGCAATCTAACAAATCATTTCTCAATAAGCCTTTCTAAATAAAGCAAACCTCTGTCAGTTTTGCGACACATTCTTTCAGAAAAGTAATACACACTTCCACTGAATCTTCCGTTGGTGTTTTAAGCATCAAAAGCTTGATCTCAGGAGCAAGCAACTCGTGAGCCTAAATATGCATCGAATTCATATTCAAAGAAAAACAGCATACCACTTGTTGATTGATCAAATGTGCGAGAAATTTACTGGCAGTCACCGTTGTTGCTTTGTTGTTTTGACGAAAATATAGCTTGAACTGCACAATCAAACGCCTAAATACATAATTTCTAAAGCCTAAAACTGTGAAACATACTTAAATGTCAATTCACCAATAACAGGAAACTTGGAATCATTCATTCCATCAGCGTCACCATGTGAAAATGTTGGAGAAAAGGCTTGTGCTTGAATTATCGATCGAGTCAGCAAACCCCTAAAATTTTGTTTACTTGAGAAAATGCTAAAAAACAAACTTTCCACGGATATTGCTTTCTTGAAGAAGCTCTCGCACAATTCCGACAAGATTGCTGGCGTTGACTTTATTGACGAGACGAGACCGTGGATCTTTTTCTTCAGACGCTCCCAATTCAACCGTTGAAGTTGCTCAACCGATTTATCCTAAATTTTTCTGTGGCCACGTTATCATTTGATGCATTACCTGAATTTGCTCTTGCATCAACTTCAGCTTCGCTGGTGCGATGTATGTGCCTCCAGTGCGAGAACGCATTAAATCAAAAGGCTCTTTATTTTCCTAAAATGTATTTACTTCAACAAAGTTTTCTTGTATACTTTTTGAGGAGCTTCATTTTCTTTTGGTTTTTCTGGTGATTCTTCACGTCGAGCACGTTTTGGCGTTAGCGACCTAAATCACTAATACTGAATGCAACCCAGGTTAAACTAAACGTTTCCGCCGCTCAGGACTGGCATCACGCTTTGGTGACAGAGATCTAAATAATTTTCATGAAAAAAGGTGCAAAGCTCTATTACCGTCTTCGCCTTTCTGGAGAAGCTTTATGTTTAGGATATGGTGACCTAAATCAGCTGTAAACCAAGCCAATCTTTAAAACTAACCGTCTCCGCCTTTTCGGTGAGCGGTCGCCACCTCTGCGTCTTTCTGGTGAACGTTCATGGCCTTTTTTCCGAGCTTTTTTCAGAGACAAGTACTTTCTAAATTTCGAACCTACTAGCGTCATTACTACAGCAACAATTAGCATAATTCAAAAAACATACTTTTCTGCTATTTCTCCTTTTTCTGCTTCTCTGCTATTTTTCCGAGCTCTGGCTCTGGCGACTTTTCGTTACTAAAGAGATTTGGCTTTGGCTATCAAAAGCTTCTAATCAACCAACCTGCCAATGTACTCGTCCTCTGGAGATCCTTCCCGGAGCCAGATGGAGTCCCTGGAGCGGCCCATCTTAAACTACCTAAATGTTTCATCGAGAGAAAACTGAGTTCTGATAAGTGCCTCATACAACAGCAACAACATTTCCTTTTAATTCCCATGTAAACTAGTTTATAGGCATTGCGTTTGATTCATGCGCCATGAACCGTTAATATAATTACCTCAACAAATTAAACTTTATTCGTAAAAATACGGAAGAGATCAATAATAACGTTACACACTCAACAAGTTAGCAAAATGATAAATAAGGAAAACTAGGCGATCAACTTTCCGAGTCTTCGGCGCCTCCGATGTAGAGGATGTTGTTGCACCTAGATTTAAACAAATTAGACAAAGGTCACATTAATCACCTTATTAACATTTCTCCCAAAGCTCCAGTGTTTGTTCCCTCAATGTATTCCTCCGCGTTAGCCATCTAAAAGATAAAAAATTTATTTGTGAATGCCTAGGCCTAAGCAAGCTTACTCGTATCTTACTTTTCACAACAAAATTCAGGACGTACCTCTCTAAACCAGCTTTAAGCTATGCCATAAAAACTTTACACAAAGACAACCCCACCTGGACATTCATGTAACCGTCGACCGAGATGAGGACGCCTCGATATTCCATTTCCCACTTCAATCTGCACACAACTGGCTTTCCGGCGAGTCCATTGAGGAACGGCTTTGGGTTGACTGGTTGAACAGACATTCTCTGAAAAAAAAATTAAAAACGAATTTAAGTAGATAAAACGTTAAAGAGCAAGATTGACGCGGGAAGGAGTCCTCGTCAACAAAAAGAACGGTTTTACGGAATAATTTCTGGAAGAAAAGGAGAAAAGGATTCGAATACAGGACAGGCATCTAACTAGGCGCATTATGAAGGGACAGTGTGGTTTTTGCACGAGAGAAGAGAACGGGTGGCAGAAATAGAAAAAATGTAAGATTGGCCCATTCAAGAGCACGCGAAAAATAAAATAATTGCTCGGCTGAACACTTTTGAACCACTAGAAGTATGTTAAAGATATTCAGCTAAACGATGAACGTCTGCATTTTTTGAAATAAATTGGTTATGAGGGTGCTTTTTGAGAAATTTTCGGCGTTAAAGCTTACACCTTTTTTAAAGATTTTTTTATTTCGGTGATAATAGCTGAACACCCCTCTCTTCTTCTCATTATTTTACCTCTTTTTCGTCATAGAAACACACAAGATTGCACGAGAGAAGAGAAAGGGTGACAGAAATAGAAAGGCGTAAGAATGTAAGATTGGCTAATTCAAGTGCACGCAAAAAATAAAATAATTGCTCGACTGAACTCTTTTAAACCGCTAGAAGTAAGTTAAAGATATTCAGCTAAATAATGAAGTTCTGCATTCTTTAAAATAAAATGGTTATGAGAGTGCTTTTTGAGAAATTTTCGGCGCTAAAGCTTACCCCTTTTTAGCCATTTTTTTATTTTGGTGATACTAGCTCAACGCCCCTTTCTCATTATTTTACCTCTTTTTCGTCATAAAAACACAAAATCATTTAAGCAATTTTTCAAGAGGGCGATACTGGCTTACCCCATCCCCCACTCAAAATTTTGCCTCTTTTTTGGCTATTTCGCCTATAAATGCATACAAAACATTAGCTTATTTAATTTCTTCCTAGATAATTTAATCTTTCTACAAAATAATTTTAATTTATGTTAGTTTTAAGGATCCACTCATTTCACAATGCCAAATTGTAATTCAAAAAGTAATTTGGTTATTATTCTTTTAGCAATTTTCTCATTTGTGTAAAATAACGCAGTGTTTTATCAAAGGATTTCCATCAGAAATGAACACATTCTCCCTATTCTCCTACCACTCCACCAGAGTCATTGGATCTTCAAAAGGAGCTCTTAATTCTGATAAATGCTTTGTGTTCCTTTCTGTGGACAAAAACCAATAAATCCCATCTTATTCAGACTTCTGAAGACACACAACTGCATATTATCGTTCGTGTTCGTGTAGACCCTACTGGGAACCCTACTAAAATGGGTCAATTAGAATAATAATTGAAACGAAGATTAATGATGAAAGTCAACTCGACCTCCTCCCTTAAGCGTAGTTTTTCCTTGGAATCTCATTGGGTGAAGCGTGTCAGGAAGCAAATGAAGACGAATTCCTGCTTTATCACCTATTAATATGTGAGGGATCCAGATTGATTAACCCGATCGAAAAAAACTCAAAGAACACCTCTTATCTTTGAATTTCCCCCTGACATGCGTGGACTGAGAACGCGTTCCCTTTCGAATTATTTTCTTCAATTTAGCGCTGAATTTCCGTGGGATTGATAACATTTCTGTGTTCTTTCGAACTCCTCGATTTTCAGCTCTTTTTGGAAACTAATCAGCTCGGTAGTTGAGTGTTGGAACTCTTATGCTTTTTGCCAACTTCATTTGTTTCTGCTCTTCAAAATCTGTTGATTACATATTTTAACAGAGCATCTCCCCTATGATCAAGTTCACAATCTTTCTTACTAAGCTTTCTGTTATATGGTTGTAGGCATGTGAACCTTGAGAATGCTAGCGAAACTTGCTCGCCAATTTTGTTGTTTATATTGTCTTAGCTTCAGACAACTATCACTTTGAATCTCGGCTGATTTGGTGTCTTGATAATCGTGTTAGATTTATGCAAGAACTTTCAATCAAACCCTACTTTTGTCCCGTGGCCCTTCTCTCTTAACTCATTGACCAACCTCCAATTTTTTTTTCATTAGGGAGATGTCAATTGCAAATCTGATATTTCCCCGATGATGATTAATCAACTTACTCCCCTCTCGCTGTAGCTAAAAGCTGAGAAGAGAACGAGGTAGCAGACACAGAGTCATTATCGAAAGATACTAAATCTCACTATCTTTATGAAAAGGAGAATATTTCCAGAGTGAACTTTTAAACTCGCACAGCAAACCTCAAAACGACCCTCCCTCCTATCCTTCCTATTTCCGCAGCCCAATTGCAGAATCTCTTGAAACATACTTCTTCTGAGTATATCCCCATCTCTTGAAACCTTATCTCTTCTCGGAACCTGTCACTCTTCCCATCGCAATCAACAACTTCCCCTCCTTAAATTAACATTCACAATTATTTTTGACGCTCTCTTTAATATTTTAGGAGTGATATCATTCACCAAAGCAAACATCTGTCGCTTTCGTAACAATGGGGTTTCTACGGATTCTTCTACTGGTTTGAGTCAAATGAATCCTGTAACTAAAACCGAATCCCAGACTCTCTGTCTACTGGCCTTTTGCCATAATAAACTTCACGCAAGAATCAAATCTTTGATGAATTGAGTCCCAATTTCTTCAAAGCATCGTTAACTCTAACCAATTCTTTTGAGATCAGCATCAGTGTTTACTCCTGGATTAGCTCACTCATAGTTCACCAAGCCTTTGCAGTTCCACCAGCAACAGGGCATTATTGATGTTGTTATAATTATGTTGTTATACTATCATTGCTCTGCAAGAAATTGTTGTTACTTTAAACAGATCTTTTCTCTCAAATTTGTATACGAAATGTTGACTTTTTACTATTATGATCACTTGTTGATTTTTCTGGCAAAGGGCTCAAACTTTAAAGTTTTATGATAAAAATTAAGCTATATCAAAAAAATTGGTGTATTTCAATTCGTGGATATTTTTCTTCTTCTATTTTCTATTTTTATTTTTCTTCATATTCTCGAATTTTTGTATCAATGTGGAGCTGATAACTTTTCAACTTCTCAAGAAATTTTCATAGCAGTGATAATCTTCGGGTATTTTCCACTCAGATGCCATAGATGGCTTGTTCAACCGCTTGTTGGCAACAGCAACAAATGAAGTTGGCAAGAAGCATAAGAATTCCAACACTCAACTACCGAGCTGATTAGTTACCAAAATAAGCCGAGAGTCGAGTTCGAAAGAACACAGAAATGTTATCAATCCCGCGGAAATTCAGTGCCAAACTGAAGAAAACAATTCGAAAGGGAACGCGTTCTCAGTCCACGCATGTCAGGGCGAAATTCAAAGATAAGAGGTGTTCTTTGAGTTTTTTCGATCGGGTTAATCGATCTGGATCCCTCACATATTAATAGGTGACAAAGCAGGAATTCGTCTTTATTTGCTTCCTGACACGCTTCACCCAATGAGATTCTCTCGGATTTATTTGCTGCTGCTTTTGCTTCTTCATTTTCAGCTGGCTGATGGATTGGTAAGGGGTGAAATATTGGTTCTATCTGTAAGCGGATTTCAGTTTGGACTTCTTGCCCTGGCCGTGGGCAGCATTGGTACTTCGGTCTACTCGATTGTCCAGGGTGAACGAGCCGAAAAACGCGAGCAGCGGAGAGAACAACGAGAGGTCGAATTGATGCAAGAAGAGGTTTTTTCTATGACTTATTCTTGAATTGAGTTGGTTTTAGAGAAGAATGTTACATCAAGAAAATTTACGTTTAAGAGAGGAGGTCGAGTTGACTCTTATCGTTTATCATCTAACGTTTCACTTATTATTCTAATTGAACCACTTCTAGTAGGGTTCGGGTCAAAGTTTTTATAGTCTTGTAGAGTGCAGAACTCTACAAGACTATAGAGGCGTTTCAGTTGAAGCTGCCTCTTTTCAATTTCATTTCAGAGTCGCGTCTTAGGCGATTTCATCTACGCGGCAAATGGCAAATTGAATGATATACATTATGTATGTTTGTGTCAGCCATAAATATAGAGACTGAAACTTTTCAGCTTTCCAAGGAGACTTTGCAACAAGTGCTTGCCAACAACGAGGATCTCCGACATTTGGATCGAAAGCTCAAGTTGGTCGGGGGATGCGGGCGGCTTAATAAATATTGCAGTCACAAATTCGACGAGGCTTTTCGGGGACTCGATCGAAACAGCTTCCTTATCTCCCAATATTCCCAAGGACTTTCGAGGAAACTCGATGTTTGTTCTTTCAACTTGATGTCCAACTGTCAATTTCAGGACGTCAACACCGGAATTATGGAAAAGTTCTTGGAGCAGAGGAGAGCCACCGATCTCAACACCGGTCTCATCGAGCATTTTCGGAACGAGGTGCAATTTTGAGCTGATGAATCTATGTGATGCTAATGATACAGATAGCTAAAGGCATTGTGTCTCTTTTCTGTTGTCCCTTGAGCTATCTGTTCAGGAATCGTTGAGAAGATTCTAGTTAGTCCGGCTCCTGACGCGTTCATTTCGAAGAACAAAAAGAAGAAATTTCAATCAATGTAGAACTCAAGTAAAACGACAAGTTTCAATCAAGTAAAACATTGCAGACTCTCGACGGTCTCGTCTACATCGCTAGAAAGCTGCATCTCAACGAAGAGCAAACGGCGGCGGCGAGAAAACACCTGATCGAGGTATGAAGAAATTGGAAATACCAGGAACTTTTTATTCAGGGCATAAATGCGGGATTTGTGGCCGTGCAAGAGCGAATGATCGAACATCACACAAAACATTCGAAACACTTGAGTCAATTGGGCAATTCGGTTATAAGTTTTGGGCGTTTGAGAAGAATCTATATTTTCAGTTAACATTCAACTCGCTCGTCTTACAAGCCGGACAAGAGGCCACACAGAAACAGCTGCAGGTTCGGCAAAAAAGAGCCATGGGTTGATGGGTAGCTCATAGAAGTATCCAAGTCATTGGTTTTATATTAGACCGATCTACGTATGTTTGGTACTTATTGGTTATCTCCCCCTAATTAGCATACGCCCGAAATTAGCATTTGACTCCACTAGCGAAGCGCAGCGGAGCATTGGTGGTGAGGTGGGTGGAAAAATTTCAGTCCGCTGAGCGGTTGGCTTCTTTTATCACCTTTTAAATGCAAGGTACAAATTAAAATACAAGCATCGAATTAAAGAAAAGCATCGAAGAAAACGCTGTCGAATGGCCACTGAGGAAACTGCTATCCACACGCACTTGAAGACACCGGCATACAATAAAACTACAAGTTGGAACACAATGTCGTTAGCGATGCAAACTCAGCGAATGTGGAACTGAAATTGGACTCCGAGTTGAGAATTGACTTGCCGAAAGTCATCAGCGAAAACACTTCTATCCCAGATTATCAAACAATATTGCATATCAAACAATAACATATTGCACCTAGATATACTATCTACTCTGACTCATGGAAAGGGTAAAATTCAAACGACCTAGCGCAAGCGGGCTATGACAAATTGAATCAGATCCGATCCGAATGGAACCAGATTAGATCTACCCACCAATGCTCTGCTGCGCTTCGCTGGTGCAATTAAACGCTAATTTCGCGGGTTTGCTAATTGGGGGAGGTAGATAATCAATAAGTACCGTATTTTCCCTTAACAGACAACGGAGTTAGCAGCTTTTTAACTCTTCGAAGCTCAATAACACCAAAACTATAAAAATAGTTTGTAGAGAAAAGCTTTTCAGGATGGATTCGACGAGATGAGGGAGAAAGCCGTCGAGCACTCCTTGTCGCTTAGCGTGATGAAGGAGGCGTTCGAGAACAAATTCGACGACACAATGAAAGGTTGGTTGAGCGCCGATCAGCTCATCACTCAGCAGCTTTTCGATAACCTCACTATGTGAATCGTTCAGCAATTCTCGCCAATGCGAATCGAGCCGAAGCCCTGAAAGTCCAAGTGAGCCGACTGGAGACGAAAATTCTCGACGGTTTTCGGTGAGTAATGACGCATTTTGATGAAATAAAGTGTGGTCGAGTGAGGCAGAAATGTGAAGCTTTTGGCTCTGATAGTCACTGTGACCCCGAAACTTATTTGGAGTAAATTTAACTCGGAAATTATCCAGAAACATCACAAATTTTCGACGAATGGACGTTTTTCAGTGACCTAAAAGACTCATTCACAGCGGAAATCGCCGACTTTCGAGCAATCTTCGAGCAATCGGAACTCAAAGTATTCTTGAAATGATTAGCAATCATCATCAGCTGGTATTTCAGGCAATCTTCAACCCGATCAATTCGACATTCCAAATGATGAATCTCTACATTCAAAACCGAGACGCGACAAGCGAGAAAGAGTTCAAAGAGGCCTATTCGGGATTGCAGATACGAAACAAGTACTCGGTTTGTTGGAGGTTAAGAGTTAAATGAGAGAATGTATTGGAAGGAGATCGAGAAGAAATTCAAGCATTTGCTCCAAAAACACATCAGAACAGCAGCAAGGGGCGATTTTCAATTCGAGAGTTACGAGCAGCTGCGCGACCGCCTACTACATCATTTCGAGATGGCCGTTCGTTTCATTTAGACTTTATATTGGAGTTGCTATGTACAGCACTTGGCTCGTATCTTCTATCACGGATTGGGCATGGTGCACAACGATCAAAGCTATCCAGCATTTCTCGAATGGGAACTCGGGACAAAGAAAGCACATCACAAAAACCTGGAGACATTGAGGCAGCAGGATTTTGAGGTTGGTTGTAGAATCTCTAGACTCTAACAGGTTGATGCACAAGGCAACTATCGCTTCCACGAATCTTTTCACTTGCATCTTTTCCAGGATATTAAGGATATACATTACTCAATATCTAGAGCAAAACTTAAACGACTAGTTTAGATTCTATCGAGATATGGGAATCCAAAGTTGAAAGTAGCCGTTTTTGGCCTAAAATGGGCCTTTTTCGAAAAACAAAGATTTAGCTCTAGAAGACGAACAAACAAAAGGAGTTCTTTTCTTTTATGTTATTTTGAAATAACTTTAATTGGCGGTAGTTTCTAACGAAAAAACCGGGCATGGCTATTACCAGCAACACATTTCCCAGAAAATCGCCATTTTTGACCCTTCTCATATTAGGGTGGTGCAAAAGAAACTGCCGATTTGACGGTAAATTCAAAAAAAGATGGCGTTCGATGGTGATATGATCACCATGGAATATTTTCGCAAGATCTCGAGCAGATTGGCATGGATCGGCCTGAATAACGTCCCTCAGCTTGACTCCATTCACGACCTCTGGCCTCGAGCCGTGCTCGTAATGTTCCAAAGTCTCGTCCCCTCTCGGAATCGTGGAAACCAAGTCTGACACTACCTGAGAGACAAACTGCCATCTCTTTGCTCGACCATGATCTAAATAAAAAATATGAGCATTTTAAAATAAAATAAACAACAACCAAAAAATTCAAATGTCAAAATAAATAGCAAACAAATATGCGAACAAAACATAAAAAAATGATGCCGTTAGCATCGCTCGTTTCTGATAAATGAGAGCTGATACCCATCGGCAGTTTCTTTTGCACCACCCTAATAGTATACAACACTTATTGGTTAAGGCTTGTAATATTTTTATTTTTGGAAAGATATGTGAGCGCTGGCTTTATTCTTACCACCATAATATGTAGATTACTTCTACATTTCAATTGGAAAGGGTGACAACTATTTTAAACGCACTTAGCCCGGAAAAGAACTCCGATACAGTTTCTCTTCCAGATGCGCGAAGAGGTGGCCCGTCACGCTTTCCAAGTGACTGCCGTTAAATTCTTGAAAGATTCGACGGCAGATCTTGACAACAAGTTGACGGATGAGGAAATTCTCACCCTTCTCGCCAGCATTCAAGACGATCTGCACAATGAGAAATGGTGGGACTTGTGGAGAGATGACCTTTTTCGAGCATCAGCATTTAGGGCCGATACGAATCGATCTCTCAGTCAGTATGTGGTCTTTTCGACGAGAGACTGTAAGTACTCGAGGGAACGATATCATCATCACGAATCACATTTCGCTCATTACACGGTTCGTCTATTTGGACAATATCTTGAGATAGAGAAGAGGGAATTCAACTCATTTTGAGCTGGATTGTACATCTAACACCTAAGGGACATCTAAGGGACAACTCGAGAAGATAGAATTATTCATTTGAATCAGTCGTAGCTTCATATTGCTGCTTTATGCCTTGTTGACAAACGAAAAACAAAGTAGGATTCTCCTTCAGAACGCGCACAACATGAGCTTTTTCCTCTATCGACAAAGACATGATCTCTCGACTGAGAAGTCATTTGATGGCGATTACGAAATGGGAAACGTGTTGACCTCGAAAACCGTCAAAAATGTGCTTTTGGATCGGTGAGTGAGGGTTCGATAATAGAAAGATACGAGTAAAAACAGCAACTCTGAGCTTTAGGATCCATCGAGTGGCCCTCGTTGAGAATGGGGCGATTTCGAGAGATATTGGTCAAACGATCCACATGGCTGCCGACGAGATTTGTGCCAAGAATTGCCGGGTTTGACCTTTAATTCATTGCAACGGTCAACAATTGGAACAATTGGAAATACAGCCGAGCTCATTGATTTTATTCCAGGAATTTAAGGCTCATATTCTTTCATTAGGCTAAACAATCGCAGCAGTGCATCAAACCGCCAACAATAGCCCAGGACTGCACTAATTAGAAATGACTGATCATTGATATCACATGGTGGATATTTGCGATTTCAGGCGCTGCTCACCTCGCCGAGCAATTGCATGGTCATCACTCCGGGTGCCGTCCGCTTTGCTGCCATTTTCAGTCCGTTTGGTCTCGTGGAGATCTTTGTCGGGCTATAACGACACCAGGAAAATATTTGACTCCAAGAGTTTTCTTTGTCATCAATTTGTGATTTCCTAGTTAATAAGCGTTTTTGGATATTCTGTGTCACGATAAAGTCACATATTCACAGACATTCCCCTGAGAAGGCATACAAAACATTAGCTTATTTAATTTCTTCCTAGATACTTTAATCTTTCTTCCAAATAATTTTAATTTAATTTAGTTTTAAAGGTCCCCTGATTTCACAATGCCAAATTGTAATTCAAAAAGTAATTTGGTTATTATTCTTTTAGCAATTTTCTCATTTGCTCTTATATTCTATTCTATTCGGTTTGTAGTTTATTTTACAATACCGAGCAAAAGTCTTGCAACATCACTTTTTCGAAAGGATCGATGAAATTTTTATAGAAAATGCCACCTGTTCGTAGGACTTTTTTAAAATTAGAATAAAACATGTACACTTTATTTACAAAAATAAATTCTCTAGGCCAAGGTGAGATCTATTCTCTAAAAGAATTGTGATCAAAAATTCTATTCTAAAGTCTCACGGTTGCATGGAAAGAGAGAGAGTCGGTAAGCTGCAGTTCTGCTTGTCGAATGGGAACTTGTTAGCCTGAATTTGAGGAAATTTTGTTAGATATTTCCGAGGTTTACATTTATCGAGCAAGCCGTCTCGGAATAGTAGGCGGTTGTTAGAAATATTGAGCCATTGCTGTAGATCTGAGCACCTTGAGCAGCGATCCCGCTCACCTCGTCCAAGACTCTTCTGGAAACGTGCAAAGTTGGGCACTATTGGCTTTAGGGGAATCATAAATGCAGCAGAATCAATAGGTAACACATTCCAAGCACTAGTCAAAGTCCAGCACTAGTACATTCCAAGCACTAGTCCAGCACTAGCACAAGTCCTAGTTACAGTAGCCCTGAGAATTTCAAACAAGTCTAACTATCTACTAGTAAGATTGTTACTTTTACTAACTATCCCTATGGCGAATGGCCACTACAAGTTGGGGAAAATTGTATTCGAATTACGTCTTCATTTTACCCCATGCCCTCAATACCGTAGCCTCTCCGTGTTCAACTAGATATCTTTGCGTAGACTTTTAAGCCGTGAAATTTGTTGTTTGCTCTTCTTTTTCAATTATTGCAAGTTAAATCCACAAGTTTGTTTCTCTCTCTCTAACTCTTGCTCGAGTGATAAGTGTAAAAGTAATTAGCACAAGTTCTGACTCGTTGACAAGTTGGCATAAAGGTGCAGTTTTTTACACATTCAAAATAGAGTTAAGAGAGCAAGAATAGCTCTAAACAAAGAAATAGCTGGCTATAGTTAAGAGTACTAAGCCTAGCAGAGAAATATGTCTTCCAATCCCTTGTTTGAGTGCATTGCTGAGTAATCGAACCAAGTCTTTTTCTCGTTTCCTCGTTTTCGAGGGACAAGAGTCTTTTTACACAAGAAAATTCGATCAGTTATTGTTGGGCTTAGGAGATTATATGGGTTCTTGGTATAATAACATTCTGCCAAAAAAAAATGACTACTTAGAAAGTCAAATGTTGAAATACTATATTAGAGTGCCCACTGAAATTTTATCAAGACTAAAAGACTTACTTCTAGTTTTCTAAATTCTATTTAGGTGTAGGTTCTCTTAGCTTCAACATCGGACAACTTCTTCAAGCGACCGTCGGTGGTGCGAAGTACGTCGGTGGCAAATTTGATGGCCATGCTCAACTGATCGACAATTCAAAAATGAATTCTGATTTTGTCAAGGATTTCGCAACAATAGAAGAACGTCGAAAACGGGATTCATCCCCTTCGAATGAGCCTCGTCGTCGTGGAGGAGAACCATATTTGCGACCATATTAGGCCAAAAGTTTTGGCCTGAATGTGACTAATAAGTACAATAATTTAGACTGGCTTGGAACAAACACAAGAAAGTACAGATTTCCTTGTCTATTTCAATAGTTAAGTTCTAGCAATCATCGCCTTCGAAGCGATAGTGGGGAATGGCCAGGTGCCTACGATGGAACAACCGTGCAAAACGGGCGCCGATTTTGATTGAAGGACTGCGAGTGGTATGACCGGTAACTAAAATCCTAAAGAAAACTGTTGTTCAGGAAGAAACAAAGCGCAAAGTACATGGCCCAGGAATGTTTGTTTCATAAAATCTCATAAATGTTTGTTTCTCCGAAAATGGGACAGAATCGGTATGGAAAGTTTTGGGGGAATCGATCGAAATCATTTGATAATCTCTTTCGAGGAGCACGACAAATACGGACGATTGGAGAATCAATTCCTGTTCTCAACGAACACCATTACGGCTCATCTTTCCAAAAAAATCGTCACATTGAGCCGTTTCAAACTGAAATTCTCGGTGATTTGTAAATCGTTGTTTACTCAATTCAATTTACTGTACGGCAGATGTGAGCCAACGGTTCCCATTGGGTGAATAAACAATCGTGATCGCTTTAGGCAAGATGTAAATGGACTAAAAGGCAAAGTCTCAATCATCCTATGCAAAACTCATCAATCATTCTTAGCAATGAGCTTCCCACTCCTCGAACTTAGTCTGAATAACGGTAAATTATTGAGGACATCCTTGCGTCCTCATTCTATTTCTTGCCTCAAATCATTGTTGTTTTGTAGCAGTTTTCGTTTTAATAGGAAGTCCCTATTTTGCTTGGCAACGAATTTCTTGTTTGATTTTGTCTTCTCTCATCAATTCTGCCTCTTTGGTAGCTGTTTTCTTTAATTTTCACTTGTTCTTCGAGGAAATTCAGTCATTTTGTAGGCATCCAATCGTCTAGCAATCGAAATGGACGAAGCTTCTGCCAGTTTTCCATAAAATGATCAATTCGGCGAAACGAGCCGATTTTAAAGCGTTCAACCAAGACAACACAGCTACGATCCCGGATATCGACAGAATCACGATCAATCTGTGTAGTGTCAGAGAGACAACAAGAAATAGTAGTTTATTGCTTTCTAGATCAAAATACACTAGCAAAGAAGGATACAACTCGATCCATTAGCCGGCAATCAATGAGTGAGTGCTTTGAAGAATCTGGCTCAAAAGCTCAAAACCCACAGAAAGGCATCTGCTCATCTTTTGCCTCCACGTGCCAACGACTACACGGCTCCCGGCAATCCCCTCGAGAAATTGTGAGTCGAATTACATGAACATCAATGACCCTAACGGTCGTTTCACAATGCTCTTCCCCAACTTGCCAAAACATTTGCGGAAAAGCTAAGCAACCGACGAGAAGAGCTAAGAGTTAACACGTCGATCATCTAATAACTACCTACAATAATAAAGTTTTCATTGAAACCATAGCTACACGTAATTCCTCGCAAACGTCGCGGAGAACCTGACGAGTCAAATCAATGAGGAATTTCGAATCAAATCCTTTTTGATTGCTTTCAGTTTGACATCACTGACATGACACAACGGGCACCTTATATAGTCGACCATTTTGCAAGAAAAGTTGTTGAAAGAGTATACTGTAGAGATATGTACATAGCTAAATGATTTCATCGAACAAATCTCGTCAGAAAATGGGATTTCATTCGCTTTTTGACTATAAAAATAAATAGAGCTCATTATATCTACAATATATACATACATTATCTACTTGCTTAATCGTTAAGATTACCCAAAAAAGAGACCAAAATCCCCGCCTACACAACCAACAGTGAGTCGAAAAAAAGCATGAATCGAATTTTGAGTTGAGGGACGATAAAAGCGACCTTCACGAAGAATTGTCAGTTTCCTCATGCTGATGTCCATTGATGTTCAACACGTTTATCTAATAGTCTATTCAGGAGCCACGAGAGAGCAAAATACTTGCAGCTTCAGGCGGAATTCTGGGTTTTTGGGAAAACTTTTTATATGAGACTTTGAAGAAACAATTCAGAAATAAAGAGAAAGATAGAGAAAGAGATAGTGTGCAGTTGTGTGTTCTCAGAAGATGGAATAAAATGGGATTTATTGGTTTGATCCTTTGATAAAACATCTGCGCTATTTTACACAAGGAAATCTCCTCAGATTGATCGTAATATTTTTGGATTAACTATGCGTTCGAAATTGTAATAAATATTGATGATTTCACCCTGAAAATCTCACCGTAGAGTGGGTTCTCGAAGCTGGTTCTCCCGGATACCAATTCGTGAAATCCACCAAACTTCCATCCGTCCATTCAAAAGCATTTCCTTTGTTCGGATTTCTCTGAATCAAGAAATTTTCATGTTTCACTGTTAATATTTTTTTTTCCATTTTAAAACTATTCTAATTTTTCAATTCAAATTAGGTTTCTATCAATTTCTATCATTTCAGATTTCAATCAAAGGATTATCAGTCACACGGATCATTTTTTCACAAAGAGCCTCCCGAAAAGGGATGAAAGAATCATCACTTTCTATTTATTAATTTCTTTCAACAAGAAAAATTCTACCTTCAGTCCGATCCAGAACAAAGAATCCGAACGAACAGTTTCCGCTGAAATAAATATCGGTTGTTTTTGGTTTATAAAGCATAAATTTCTACAAAAACCCTGAATTTTCAGAATTGAATCATTTCGATTTCTTACCGAGTTTCCAAACAAAATCGTTCTCTTTCTGACTGTGAATTGAGACTAAATGGCTCTTCCGACTCCCACAATATGCCTCGGCTTCATCAAATTTCATATTTTGATCGAAAGCCTTGAGATGAAGATAATCCTAGTTCACAACCTCCAACAAACCTTGTACCAAGAAGGGGTTTTTGCCAAATACGACCATCCATCCAGATACAGATCCAATAAATTCATCGTTCGATTTCTGAATTTCTTCGAGACTTTCTTCCAGATTTTTTAAACATACTCGATCCTTTTCCCCAAAAAGACTCACAAATCTGCCTTCAATTTCGCCATTTTTTCTCGAGCATCGACGAGTTCTTGTTGAGTTTCATTCCTGAAAAGACTTGCCATTGGGACACTCAAGCCTATTTCTTGTTTATTCTATCAATTTCGCTTTACTCCAAAAAAACTAAAAAACTTTACTCCAAAAAAAGTGCCAGAAGCTTTCCAGAAGCAATTCTCAACCTCGGCCCACTCTCTACGTTACAATAAAGTGCGTTTACCAGTGATCGGATCGTGATACCAATGGTTGAGAGTTGTGCCACCGCCTGGTGGAGTGTGGCCCTCGTTTGGTGGTTGAATGCAGGCGAAAGCTGAAAGCTTTTGTTTGTGATAAAGAACTCAGGCAAACCCCTTGACGGACAACAGAAAGAGATCGGATTGTTGAGGGTGCAATCGTCGGAATCACAAATACAATCGTATGCCAAAGCGCCAATCGCCTCGCAAGTCGCATCAGCGCCACCGTAACATTGTTGAACCTAAAGCTTTCATCTAGACTTTGAAAGAAACGAAGATTCTTGCCTGATTCTCGATTCTGAACTTTGGATTGTTTCCATTGAGCGGACAGAAACCGTAGTTTAGACAGACAAGGCCGTCTCGAGTTCTGAAATTGTGGATTATTGAGATGAGAGCGATTCAGAATTCGAAAAATCAACTCTCTGACTCTCCGTGACCATCAAAATAATAGACTAGTCTTACAGCTGAAGGAGCTGAATCTGATGATGTCAAGGAGAAGGAGAAGGAGGAGGAGAAGGAGAAGGAGGAGGAGGAGAAGGAGGAGGAGGACAAGGCCAAGGCCAAGAACAAGAAGAGGAACAAGAACAAGAACAAGGAGAAGGAGAAGGACAAGGAGAGGAACAAGGACAAGAACAAGAACAAGAACAGGAACAAGGCCAAGAAGCCAAGGCCAAGAGTCCAAGGCCAAGAAGGCAAGGTCAAGAGGACAAGAGCAAGAACAAGAACAAAAACAAGAACAGGAACAAGGACAAGGACAAGAACGAGAAGAAGAACAAGAACAGGAATAAGGCCCGGATAAATTGACCGCATCACAAAGCCTGTTCTCAATTGAACAAGCATCTCCATTATTAACTGAGATAAGGGCAAGCTATTGACCCCTTTTCTTCTATCTGGATGTCACGCTAGAACCTTTAGAATTCGGATTTTTGATTTTCATCAAAAAACGCGAACCCCATGAGTACAGCCAAGAGTTTGCGATTATTCCGAAAAATTGAGAAGAGCTATTTTATTTTAATCGCGTTTTTCCTTCTATCTGGATGTCACACTAGAATTGCCAAGATTCAGCTTTTTGATTTTCATCAAAATCTTTGCACTCGAAGTGCACCGCTAAGAGTTCGTGGTTATTCTGTAAAATCGAGAAGAGCTATTTTATTTTAATCGCGTTTTTCCTTCTATCTGGATATCACACTAGAATTGCTAGCATTCAGATTTTTGATTTTCAGCAAAACACTATGTTCGATGTGCACTGACCGAGCTCGTGGTTATTCCGGAAAATTGACCAGCGCAACTCTATTTTAATCGCGTTTTTCCTTCTATCTGGATGTCACACTAGAATTGCCAAGATTCAGATTTTTGATTTTCAGCAAAATCTTTGTACTCGAAGTGCCTGCCAAAGAGTTTGGGATTTTTCCGAAAAATTGGCAAATGCGATTTTCTTTAAATTGTGTTTTTCCTTCGTTTTGGATGTCACACTAGCATTGCTAGGCTTCAAATTTTTCATTTTCATCAAAAAAACGTGATGCGGCCGAACCGGGTGAAATTGACGATATTAGCCCAAAATAGCCAAAAAAGCCAAAAAGCAAAAATAATCCTAAATTCCCCCAAGTAGGCTCACATTCCATTTACCTGAACGGCGGCTGATTGTTCGCATATCGGCATTCACCGGAGCGGCAATAGGCGCCCGGCCAAACGGCCTCGCGTTGACGATTCTGAGTGCAGCCTGACTCGCCGGGGTTGATCTCTGGAAGAATTCTTGAAGATAAATCGATTAATCTTTTTTGATTTGCTTAGTTGGAAGTCACAATGAATTTTTGCGTAATCGGATTTCAAAGAAACGCAAAACGGAAAAAGTGATTTCGACATATCGAGAAGCCTCGAAAAACTTTCGTTTGCGTTGTTGAAATCACAAATTTTTTTCTATATTTGTTCAATCTGGAGGTCACAAAAGCTTTAAAAAAAATTGGAATAAGTTTTTGAATTTAAAAATTTGAATTTTTAAAAAAAATTTTTCGATTTTTATTTTATTTAATTTTCTTTAAAATTCATTTTCTTCAATTTTTCAATTTTTCGTTTTTTTTCGTTTCTTCAATTCTTTCCGTAAAATTACACGTAATTTACTCAAATTGGACACAAAAAAAACAGCAAAATCAAATATTTTTTAAGGAATTTTCGGAAAGGAATCTGACGAATTTGCAAAAAAAAATCGAAAGCCATATGGTAGAAATTTTTTTTACGAAAATGCGGAGCTTTTTTTCAACTCAAAGGGCCTTGTGCGTTCCAGGTTCGGCAAAAATTCGGTCGGATTTTGAAACCCTTCACTAATCACCGAGAAATCCCTGTGATCAGCGATCAGATCAGAGTTCAGCGACTTTCACGAGCGCTAGAAAGACTTTCAGCCTTGAGGCCGGCAGAAATCGAGATCCTGGCACGCACCGGACCTTTTGAACTTAGTGCTAACCGTAGGCGACAGGAAATTCCTAATTGACAAACGGGGAAAATTGGAACAAAAGAAATTTGACGAAATTTCAAAAGAAAATTTCAGAATCGTCAGCAAATGGCAATCTGGATGTCACAAAATAAAAAGGAGATCGTAGAAAATAAAATTTCTCAAAATTGAAAATTCGAAACTTTTTCTGAAAATCGAAACTTTTTATGGGGTTAAAATTTTCGCGAAAATTTCCGTCTTCAAGCCGTCGTTAAAACAAATCGCAAAATGTTCTGTGAGTTCCAGTTCCACGAGAAAACCGTTTCATTCGATTCAACTCTTGAAACTTCCGCTTAATCATTGAAGATCTCGAATCAAGCTCTTAAAACCGAGAAAAACGGGAATTTTTTGCAAGTTAAACCGCTATTCGTCCAATCTGGATATCACAGAAAATATAGAAGTTCTTAGCTTTCAAAAATAAGCAAAAGTCTCGGTGGCCGAGTGGTTAACGCGCTCGGCTACCAATCTGAGGGTCGTGGTTCGATTCCGGGCTCAAAAATTTCGCGAATAAAGCACTTTTTCTGAGCGCAGATGCTGATGTGAGTTTCAGGATCGCTAGAAATTCGATTAGATCGTTAAAATCTTCGATTACCAGCGGTGAATTGCCCATTTTCTGGGTGCTCATATTCAGCTATTTCAAAACTTTTCAAAAACTCGAAATTTCTCCAGTAGAGCATTCTGTGTTATCCAGCTTTCACGAATCGCTTTTTAGTTTTGCTCAATTTTCCCCCAGTCGCCCTATTTGTCGGTGAACTCGAAACGCGGCTCTTGCTCGCCAGGGAAACAAATTTCAGCCTAGTTCTAAGGCTTCTGTGAGATTCTGTGTCATCCAGATTGCAAGATTAGTTCTCTAGTTTTCCTCAATTCCCCACATTTCTCGTTATTTTTGAGTGATCTCGAACGGCGGCGCTGGGTGGGCCAGGAGCCTACCTTGAGCAAAACTCCAAAAGTTTTCCTTAAAGCTGGATATCACAGATCATTTCTACATTGTTAAAAGCTAAAAATTTCGAAAACTCTTGCTAGCCAAGTGGTTAGCGTGCTCGGCTACCAATCAGAGGGTCATGGTTCGATTCCGGGGGCTCAAAAATTTCCCGACTAAAGCCCTTTTTTCTGAGCGCAGATGCTGATGTGAGGTCCAGGATGGGCGGAAACTCGATTAAAATCTCAATAGCTTCAATTCTCATTCGTAAAAAGGGCTTGTAAACGAAATCTCCGGTTTTCTAATGAAATTTTCTTCTGAAATTGGGAAAATCCTTTAAAAATAGCCCGTTTTCATTCGCTTTTTTAGAATTCTGTTTGAAAAAAAGCGATTAGAATGAAAACAAACTGAAAAAAAGGGGGAAAAATGGGAAAAAAGGGAAAGAAAAAAAAGAGCACATTTCACCCAAAAAAACAAAAAAAAACAAAAACAAAAAGAAAGAACGTAGAGAAAAGTCGAAAAGTTGTAAAGTTTTAAATATTTAATAATTCATAAAGAAAAAGGAGTTTATCGTTGGCAAAAAAAAAGGAGAAAGGCAAAGAGAAAAAGAGAAAAAAGGAGTTCTTTTCTTTTATGTTATTTTGAAATAACTTTAATTGGCGGTATTTTCTAACGGAAAAACTGGGCATGGCTATCACCAGCAACACATTTCCCAGAAAATCGTCATTTTTGACCTTTCTCATAGTATACAACACTTATTGGTTGAGGCTTGTAATATTTTTATTTTTGGAAAGATATGTGAGCGCTGGCTTTATTCTTACCACCATAATATGTAGATTACTTCTACATTTCAATTGGAAAGGGTGACAACTATTTTAAACGCACTTAGCCCGGAAAAGAACTCCGATACAGTTTCTCTTCCAGATGCGCGAAGAGGTGGCCCGTCACGCTTTCCAAGTGACTGCCGTTAAATTCTTGAAAGATTCGACGGCAGATCTTGACAACAAGTTGACGGATGAGGAAATTCTCACCCTTCTCGCCGACATTCAAGACGATCTGCACAATGAGAAATGGTGGGAATTGTGGAGAGATGACCTTTTTCGAGCATCAGCATTTAGGGCCGATACGAATCGATCTCTCAGTCAGTATGTGGTCTTTTCGACGAGAGACTGTAAGTACTCGAGGGAACGATATCATCATCACGAATCACATTTCGCTCATTACACGGTTCGTCTATTTGGACAATATCTTGAGATAGAGAAGAGGGAATTCAACTCATTTTGAGCTGGATTGTACATCTAACACCTAAGGGACATCTAAGGGACAACTCGAGAAGATAGAATTATTCATTTGAATCAGTCGTAGCTTCATATTGCTGCTTTATGCTTTATTGATCAATCACAGTTGACATGATTAGCAATCATCATCAGTTGGCATTTCAGGCAACCTTCAACCCGATCAATGTTGGAGGTTGAGAGTTGAAAGAGAGAATTTATTGGAAGGAGATGGAAAAGAAATTCAAGCATTTCCTCCAAAAAGATAGCAGAACCGCAGCCGTAAGTGGCGATTTTCAATTCGAGAGTTAGGAGCAGTGCATTCAAAAACATTTCCTTTGTTCGGATTTCCTTGAATAAAGAAATTTTTATGTTCAGACATTGATATTTCGATCCGATTTTCCTTTTTTCTTCTTGAAATTATTCTGGTTACCCAATCGAAACCATTATTTCTATCAAAGAACTATCAGTCAAACGAGTCATTTTTTCACAAAGAGCCTCCCGAAAATGGCTGAAAGTATTATTTATTTCTATATATTTATTTATTTCTTTCGATAAGAAAAATTCCACCTTCAGTCCGATCCAGAGCCAAGAATCCGAATGAAAAGTTACATATTGGCAAGCATTTCCTGAATCGCCCTCTTGAAAAATTGCTTAAATGATCTTGTATGTTTTTATGACGAAAAAGAGGTAAAATAATGCGGTGAGGAAAGGGGCGTTGAGCTAGTATCACCAAAATAAAAAAAAATGTGAAAAAAGGTGCAAGCTTTAGCGCCGAAAATTTTCAGAAAGCACCGTTATCAGTATTTTATTTCAAAAAATGTAGAAGTTCTTTATTAGGCTGAATATCTTTAACTTACTTCTAGCGGTTTAAAAGAGTTCAGTCGAGCAATTATTTTATTTTTCGCGTGCTCTTGGATCAGCCAATCTTACATTTTTTCTATTTCTGCCACCCGTTCTCTTCTCTCGTGCAAAAACCACAATGTCCCTTCATAAAGCGCCTAGTTAGATGCCTGTCCTGTATTCGAATCCTTTTCTTCCAAAAATTATTCCGTAAAACCATTCTTTTTGTTTACGAGGACGCCTTCCCGCGTCAATCTTGCTCTTCTTAACATTTTATCTACTCAAATTCGTTTTTAATTTTGTTTTCAGAGCATGTCTGTTCAACCAGTCAACCCAAAGCCGTTTCTCAATGGACTCGCCGGAAAGCCAGTTGTGTGCAGATTGTAGTGGGGAATGGAATATCGAGGCGTCCTCATCTCGGTCGACGGTTACATGAATGTCCAGGCGGGGATGTCTTTGTGTGAAGTTTTTATGGCATAGCTTAAAGCTAGTTTGGAGAGGTACGTCCTGAATTTTGTTAGTTTTTATGTCGCTTGTGAACAGTCAGATATATGGCGAGTGGGCTTGCTTAGGCCTAGGCATCCACAAATAAATTTTTTATCTTTTAGATGGCTAACGCGGAGGAATACATTGATGGAACAAACACTGGAGCTTTGGGAGAAATGTTAATAAGGTGATTAGTGCGACTTTTGTCTAATTTGTTTAAATCTAGGTGCAACAACATCCTCTACATCGGAGGCGCCGAAGACTCGGAAGGTTGATCGCCTAGTTTTCATTATTTATCATTTTGCTAACTTGTTGAGTGTGTAACGTGATTATTGATCGCTTCCGTATTTTCATGAATAAAGTTTAATTTGTTGAGTTAATATATTAACGGTTCATGGTGCATGAATCAAGCGCAATGCCTATAAACTGGAAAGTTTGCAGTGAACAAAAGGAAAGTTGTTACTGTTGTGTGAGGCACTTACAGAACCAGTTTATGGCAATGAAACACAGGTAGTTGAAGAGGGCCGCCCAGGGACCCTGGCCCGGGGACCGCTCACCGAGAGGCGAACAGACAGGTTGAGGTGATAAAAGGCTTTTGCTAGCAAAGCCAAACCTTGTACGAAAAGGAGAGCCAGTGCTCGGAAGAAAGGCA